ACCTCATCCCCACCTCAAATCTACCTCATCTCCACCTCAAATCCACCTCATCCCCACCTCAAATCTACCTCATCTCCACCTCAAATCTACCTCATCTCCACCTTAAATCTACCTCATCCCCACCTCAAATCTACCTCATCCCCACCTCAAATCTACCTCATCCCCACCTCAAATCTACCTCATCTCCACCTCAAATCTACCTCATCTCCACCTTAAAGTGAGGGACAAGCAGTTAATGGTTCTACTTTAAATCATCAGGTTTAGTAGAACTTGATGACTGAATTTAACACCAGCTCTTCTGAGCAGTAGAAGAAAAAATTCTGCAAACTACAGCTCTGCATTCTCTCTACAAAACTCTGCTGAAAACAATCACAAGACAAGCAGGATTCAGTATTGATATATGCAAGAAGAGTGCAGCACAAAAACCTGGAAAACAGACAATCTCCCTGCTCTCAGCAGCAGAAAATCCCTTTCAGGTCACTCCTGGTAGATTTAAACTGATGCACTGAAACACAAAGGGCCTGTACACAAAAAGCACTTTATGTTTAAATAATGGCTTGTCCTCTATTTTCTACTGATTGCTTACAAACAACCTACATCTGCTTTTATGAAAGGAACTTCTTGTAATGTTGAATTCTGAAGGGGTTTTTTGAGCATCATTTGACCTGACTTGAGTGGGGATTTAATCAGCTGCTCTAGCACTGCACCTGTAGTTGTCTGACATACAGCAGTGACCAAACTGAAGCACCAGAGAAAATTCTGGGGTAAAAATGTATAATTGAGATGAGCCCAAATCCCCTATCCATGTAATAGATTTAAATAAATCCTGCTTAGGAAATCACAGGCTATGCCCTCTGTCTCTAGGGTAATTTTGTGTTTTCCAATAAGTGTCTACAAGGATTGCTTGATGAAATTCAGAAGTTTGAAAAGGTGTGCTCACTCCCACTGGATTTTTTCCCTTAAGAGGAGCAGAATACCTACCAGTAAAACTCAGTGGTGTCTCCAGCTTCATAAGTGCAACATCATTGTCTTTAGAGTCTGTGTCATAATCTGGGTGGGAAATTATCTGTTGCACTTTGTATCCACTTCTAAAAAGCATCTCATCCTGATTCAGAATCCCAGCATAAACCCTCCAGCTGTGTGGGTCAGCCAGTCGCCTACAGAACAAAGAAAAGGTCTGAAGGTTTTCTTCCGTGGTGACAAGACACACATTAGGACCTTCAAAAAATTGTCTTCAGGAGCTATAGTCAAATGCTTGTGTGACCAAAAATGCACATGCATTTGGACTACCATTTCTGAAGAATAAGACAAATTGCCAGACACGTAACTTGAAAAAAGCTTGGCTCTAGTTTCAAAAATATATTAAAAAAAAAAAAAAACCTTTGCAGTGGGTTAAGTATCACTGTCTATCCCTTTAATCACTCAGCACAACAAATTAAGTCTGAGGTTGCAACACTGAAGCCTTTTGATTTCTATGACTGAGGGATCAGGCAGGTATTTCTCAAGTCTCACATGTCAGTGGTATCAGCAGACGCCAGAATTAGTAAAAATGTGATCTAGTGAAAGAATTTCATTATCTTGAAAACATCAAGGGTTTTTTTTAGGCTGGTTTTGGGTTTTGGTGGGCTTTTTTTAATGTTAGTCATGCTTACTAGATGTTATTTAAGCCGCCTCTTGTGCTCCAGCACAGTTTACAAAACTTAATAGAAAACTTACCACGAGTGTTAAAACTCCCTCCATGAGAAGCACCAAGGCAGTTGTGCCTGCAGGTCACCCCAGCTCAAAAAAAAGCCCAGATCAGGCTGAAAACCAGGTCTGTGCCAGCTGCAGCTTGGTTGCCATTCCCAAAGCTTTTGCACACCACAGAGCTCAAATCCAGGCAACAAAGGAGGGATAAGATCTCCAGGTAGAAATCAACACTTGCATTCCTTTCTCAAGGTTAAGGACAAATATTCTTCCTTGCCTTAGCCTCAAACTGTGATCCAGCCAACCAACCATTAAAAATATTTTTGTTTTGTGGGTTTTCCCTCCAACAGAAGCAGCCACCTTTTAAACAAATTCTTGCCCTTTCTGAGGGTACCACAGAACCCTCAACTCTCTTTTATAGGTTAAAAATGTACAAATCACCAGCTATTTTTCTTGTTGATAGCTACATAAAGTGCTCCTTGGATAGATATAAATCTGTATTTAATACTGACTTGGACTTTACTACCCCGTGGCAAGAAGATATGAAGAAATAAATGGCACAGACATCTTTAAATTGATCATATCTACAGCACTGTGATATTTGAGAATTTGGGGAGGGGGAATTTTCTCACAGGGTAATTTAACACCTTCATGGAAACATTGTACTGGCTGGCATTAAATTTGGTGCCTTGAGTTTACATCTTGAATTGGGTGGGTATCTGTGCTCAACATCACCCATTTCATTTTGTAAATAAGACAAAATATAAAATAAGGCTTCCTGTAGAAAGCAGACAGACAAACTGCAGCCATCCTCCTTCCAATCTTCCCTTAATACTTCAGATTTTTAACACAGAAAAAACACTGCAACGATCACCTGCATGCCAGGCTTGCGGAGGGGAGAAATTCAGTTTTAAAGGAGAAAGTGGGGAGAACAGAATAAATTCATGCATTTCAGCCTGCAGAAAGGCAAACAGGCAGGGAGAGAGGGACTCACCCTTCCACACAGTGTGCTGCTGTCACGAGCCAGTGTGGGGTGATGATGGAGCCCCCGCAGACGTGGGTGCCCTGCACGTGCAGGCTGACCTGCCACGGCCACTGCCCCAGCACGGCCCCGCTGCCCCCCACGATCCTGTTCATGATGCTCACGCTCTTGCTGGACAGGCCACACTCTGAAAAAAGGCAGTCACACGCAGAGGTTGATCAAAGAATGAGCTGGGAGGCAGTTCTGCACCCGGGGCTCCCCTGGCAGAGGGGTGCACACACCACGCTGGGCACAGCACAGCTCAAAGCCCTGCCCTACACCAACTCTGCCATTGCCCAGACCCCCATTAAATTGCAAACCTCACCTGGCAGCTGCTGCCCTTGGTTCACCATAAACTCTTCCCACCTTTCAGGAGTCTCTGGCGATTCTGGCATCCCTGTGCTGTGCAACAAAGCAGCCAACAGCCAGGAGACTCCTTGGGACAGGAATCACCATCAAGCAGGCACTGCCCACCCAGTTGCTGAATCTTGGAGAGCAAATGTGCCACAGACCCCCCCAACACAGGGGGATGGACATGGAACTCCACCACAAGTCATCTAAAGGAACCAGTGGCAGCAACTGGGGGTCCAATGTATTCCTTGTCTGCTCTCCCACCCTGCTCCTAAAACTGTATTATTTGGGAATCAGAGTTAAATCTTTTGCCCATGCAAAAACAGCAATTAATGCCAAAGGTCCAAAAGAACCTGCCAGCCAGAGCATTTCAAAGCATGAAGAGGCAGAAGTCTGCAAAAGCCCGTGAGTTACCTATGCAGCGCAGAGAAACCACCTTTCCTGAGGCACAGGAACCACTGCAGGAGAAACAAAAAAATCCAAAGAGGATCTTAGGCACTCAAGTGAAGGAAATGGTGAGCACAGTCCACCCTCCAGCTGCTTTCTACCCTTTGCAGCTACATGCCCTGCCTTCAGCCTCATCTTCCTGTGCAAGTCCCTCTTTTCTTCACTTTCTCCAGCTACCCTACCAGCAACCATCTGGCCTCCACCATGCTTTGCTTTCATCAAAACTGTCCTGTGGGAGCCTGCAGGCATGAGCACAAAACGTTTGAAAGCCTTTTGAGAAGCAAGATGAAGTGATAAAGTGCAGCTGATTTAGGAAGCCCTTGCAGAAGAACTAAACAAGGGAGCTGCAGGAAGTTTGCAGGCACAGCAGATTACAGGTTTTGACACTGGACACTTCAGAGTTGTTTAATGATAATACAAATGCTTTCTAGAGTGAAGATCCGTTTTTGCAAGCTGTGCATTTATGTGACTGAAAAAATGGCTGTGCCAGCTGCTGTGAATGTGTTGCAGCTTGTAGCTCTTGTCACCATACACAAACTCCTACAGATGGTCAGAGAGCCTTACAAAATTACTTTTGACATGGCAACCTTCTAGACAGCACAGGGGATGGGACATTTTTTATTTTAGAAGAGGACAGGGAGGATGGAAAAAAAATTTAAAAACAGCTGTTTTTTTAAAAAAGAGGGAAGAACAGTTGCTGCAATCAGATTGAAAGCAAAGTCTCTTTCCCTCCAACAATCCCCACTGAAAGATGTGCTTGCATTGTGCTGCAGGCAGAAGCTGCACCTCTGCCAGCATCTGGAGAGAGCCTGGGTGAAAAGAGAGAGGCTTTTATTAAACAAAGATACCTGGTGTACAGCTTTTTGTACAAGTCTATATTCCCAGCACTCGTGTTCAACTTCATGTAGCTCTTAAAGCTGACTTCAGGGGCCACCCCACGACTGTAGAAATATGTATCCCTGCAAAACAGAACGTCCACGATGAAACCCAGCACTGGTTTCAATTTTCAAACAAGTGATAACAGTGAGCAGTGCCAAGCCAGATCTTCTGACATGACAGCACTAGGAATCTTTATTTTTGTTTATTATATTTATTTTTATTTTTGTGAACATGGAACCCTGGTGGTGCAGCCCAGCCAGAGTCTCAGATTCTTCAAACATCTGTCAAGTTCCACTTCCCACCAATCGCTGGGTTAAAATAATATTTTTATCTGATATGCATGCACCTCATGTAACAGGGCAAGATGAAGAGGTGCCTTTGCCAGTACATTTTCCCAGCAAAGTCTCAAACACATTAAAAATGGCAAGAGGGAAATTTTAACCTTTCTTTGTCTGAGCAAAGGCTGACAGGGGTTGCACTTACACGCTGTAGCCCATGTCTTTGCATGCAATCTTCCCATAATCATCATTCCAGTCATCTTGGCAAACAGGATACCAGAATTTGCTGACAGGTGAATAAACTTCCAGAATAAAATTTGGTCCAAAAAGTCTAACTGCCAGAAAAGGAAGAAAGGGAAAAAGGAAAAAAAAAAGGAAACTAAGAACACCACATGCCATTATTACTGCTGTCTCTGCTTGGAAGTAGTTACCCATAATATCCACTTCATTTATGAACTGATGTTAATTTAATGCTCCCTTCTACTCAAATTCTGAGTTAATAGCCAGTAGACAGAAATATGGCAATGACTTACTTCTTTTTATGTAAGGCAATTTAGAAGAACTAACCAGTTTTAAAACGCAAATGTACAAGATACAAGATTTCAGTTTTTAGACTCAAAATTCTCTTTTATATTCTACCACTGAAAAAGACTGCAACAATGAAAATTTCCTGATCTTTTCTCTACACAACCATATCTTTCTTAATATATCACATACTGCGTATAAATAAAATATGATCTACTGAAAATACTTTATATTGTCTCTTAACACACCAAATTTCTCCAGAGAAGTGCTTTGTAAAGCAAGAATAAAACCAGGAGCAATTAGCTCTGACATTCCATGTCCCATTGTGTATCTGCTTGCACAAGAATTTAATAAAAAGTACTTCAAGCAAAAGAAGAGATTGAAACAGGCTTCTCCAAGATGCCATTATTCAACTAAAAGGAGTGGAACAGCTGCCAGCAAATGCCAACCCTGCATGAGAATAAAAGTTTACAGAGGGAATTTAAAGCACAGCTGCAGTTTTCCATGTGGCAGTGGCACGACACAAGATGCCAAACCTCTGGAATGACAAATCAATGTCCTTCTACCTTCAGCTCTGCACTAAAGCTTCCTTTGGCATATTTTCAAAGCAATGATTAGGCAGCTTTTTGTACACAAATAAGTTAGGAAGTACTTGAAGAACTAAGAGAACAAGGAATATAAAATACATGGAAAAAGACAAGCCCGACTGAAGACCACCAGGTTTGTTATCACCTGAAGCTTACTGAGAAGTCACCACTGACTGTTCCATCCAGAGACAATGCTAGATCCAGCTCTGCACAAACCCCACTCAAATTAACAGGTGACATTTCAAAAACTGACTCAAAGTCAATGCAGCTCAACCCCCTGAGCATTTTATTTCAGCTTTTCAATCGGGCTGGAAGCAAACTGAGTATCTATACATAACACACATCCTAAACCATTTTAATGACACGGCTTGGGCTAAAACACTCTTGTTGCAGCTTAGGCAAGCTCTGGACAAGGCAGTCTGCTGCCAGGCTCCTGCAGTGATGCAGTTTGCCCCCAGCCCTTGGCTGCTGTCACTCACCACAGCGGGTCTCATCCTCCCCGTTGGGGCAGTCGCTGACTCCATCACACCACTGCGAGGGGGGCATGCACACCCCTGAGGATCCACACTCAATCAGGGAGCTGAGACAGTGATTCTCTACTGCAGGGAGACAGAAGCACAGCCATAAGCTGCACGTCAGCCCAGCTCTCAAAGAGTTTCCCACTTGGATGGAGCCAAACGTTGGAAGCGGCTCCGAACTGCGGCGGTGGGAGGGACCCAGCCTGCCGCAGCAGAGATGGATTGCTCTGTCCTTTGCACAGATCAAGCCTCTGATGCAGCTGATTGGGTTTTGGCCACTTGCCTCCCCTGAATAATCAGGCACCATTAATTTGTCAGGAAGGAGTCAGCTTTGCACTGGCAAAGCGTTAGCAGGTAGAAAAGGAGGAAGAGAGTGAGCGCCTCAATAATATACTTTTGTTCTCATTTAAAACAAGATTACACTCCCCCTGCTTAAACCAAAGTGAGTCAGAAAAGTGCCTCTAAGAACACAAAGTGTCATAGTAATAGTTCTAAATGAACTCCCTTAAAGTCATAGATTAGTTTGGAAGGGGTCTTTAAACATCATTTTAGTCCAACCCCAATGCAACATTTCTCCTCCTCTTCTCCTGAGCAGAATGGAAAGGAGAGGCTCCAAAAAACACCAGATTTTTAATTTCCTGCTTTATTAGCAAAGCAGCTCTCATTGAAAGGGAAATTGAGACAGCACAAGGCAAATTTCACCTGAGTTGAACAGAATTGGTCCAGCCCTGCTTCAGAGCTCAGTCACCCCAGCTGGGGATGATTTCTAAAGCAAAAATCCATGGTACAACTCAGAGTGCTGAGGCAGGCTGGGCTCGTGCAATATTTACACAAAAGCCCCACAGAAACAAATAAATGGATATAAATGACTTCTGCTCCAAGAGAGATGCCATTTTAGCAAAACAAAACACATCTTGACCGTTTACACTCCTGCAGTTAAGGTTTGCACACTTATTGCAATCCCCTCCCTTCACCTGGAATTAAGTGAAGCTTGAATTTGGAAAACAACAGCAGCATTAAAAAGAAAGGAAAAAAACAAAAAACCTCAACCCACCAACAAAACTGAGCCATTAAGAAGCAACATTAGTTATCTCTTAGGAGAAAAGGAACAAAGATTTTTCTATCCTTAATTCAGAGTAAAGCATAAAATGAGAATGGATATATCTAACTTGAAAAGTTTAATACATATTTCTCTTTAAAAAAACAAGAAAAAAAAAACTTACCAAAATACCAGATGAAGAAAGCAGCAATTGCACAACAAATGACTATTAATATAGATAATATTATTATTATGGTTTTCCGTAGACCTGAAATGAAAGCAAGGAGGAAAAGAGAAATTAGGTTCACAAGCAATTTCTACCCACCAGCACTATTTATTTGACATTAAAATCAGTCATTTTTGGCCAGACTTTTCTCCATTCCACCATCCTTCCTCCCGAAGCCCCCAGCTTCACCAGCACCCCAACCAGCTGTCACTTCTTCATCCACAAGGAAGTGGCCACTTGGAAGGGTGGATCCCTTTCTGTGGGAGTCCAGGGCTTCCCTCCGGCTGCCCTGAAGGTCTGGGACCCTGGCAGGGGTCAGGAACCCCCCTGGACAGAGCCCCCAGAGACACTGGCTGTGATCTCTGTCCATGGAAAAGAGTTTTCAGTCTTACAGGATGAATTACAAGTTCTGAGTGTTTGATACAAGTAATAATTAAGTGTGGCACAGGTGCAAAAGTAAAATTTTAGGATTCTAGATGAGGGGTCCAAAGGGGACAAGATGGAGGAAATTGGGTGTGCCTTGTCCTTTTTCTCCTTCTTCATGCCCTCCATGTCTCACTGTGGTGTTGGCATTTTTCTGTTGGTTCAGGCTGGGGACACACTGTCCAACGTAGGTGACAGATATTGGCACGTTCTTGTAAATCCAGCCCAGGGAGTTTCTGGTATTTAATGTTTGTAACATCCCACTGAGGGCAGAGCCCCACACGCTGCCCTGCAGGACAGAGCTGGGCAGGGCAGCAGAACATGTGAGAGATAAACAGAATAAACAACCTGGAAACCAGCACAGACCAATTATGGCTTCTGCTTTGGCAGCGGGGCTGAAAGACAGTTTCTGCAATCTCGGAATCATCAATACCATAGATAACGACACCTTTCCTTTGTTATCTTATTTTGACAGATCTCGGGACCAAAACCAGGAGAAATCCCCCCAAAACTTACTGGCTGCACAGCTTCTCCTGGGCGGGGGTGCTGCTGGCCTGCTGGACTGGTGGGTGGCAACCCTGGGCACGTAGGTTGGCACGGAGGGAGGGCTGGAGAAGAGCTGGGGGTAAGGATTAGCACCTGCTGCCAGCCTGGCAGCGTAAAGCGGCTCCGGCTGGAAGCCCCGGTTCTCGTAGTACGGCGGTGGGGGACCCTGAGGGGTGGCATGGGGAGGGAGGGAACAGGAGAGGGTGAGAAACAAGGCTGCCATCAGCACCAAATCTCACAGTCCTGCTCTGTAAAATACACCAGAACGCTCACTGGGGACCCCAGTGTACACAGACAGAGATTCACAGAACACGCCTAAAGCCTCGTGCTTTGTGTTGCCCTGATTTTTAAAAGTGGTTACTTTTATAGTTCTTTTGAAAGTTTTAAAGTTCTCATAAAACTTCTTTAGCCTTCTGATGACGTTTACACATCTGAGAGTCAGAGTTCCCACACCATGTCATGTTTAAATAGAATGGTTTACATATTTCTCTGGGGGTGGAGAGAAAGGATTGCTTGATCTTTGGACCAGTGTGGTTGGAGAGGTGGTAATTTCATCCTCCAATCCACTGTCATCTTTGGAATTCCATAAATACCAGATGTTTGACTAAAACCATGTCTTTTTCTCTTTTGAACTTACCAAACTTCTGTGTACTCATTTTGTGTCCAACAGCGATAGTTTTAAATTATAAACATAACACAGAGTGAGGTTGGCAATCCTCTGACAGGATCAGTTTCCTGATCCATAGCAGCCCAGCCCAAGAAGGATTCTTGAGCCCAGCTCTCCCAAATGCTTGTCCTGGGCCATCTGACAGGGTAGAAATAAACTGCAAGGACAGCTGTGGGCTGCACCATCACAGCAAGAAATGCTGACAAGAAACAGCCTTTGTCCAGGTCCTGGATAAATTCTCACTGCTCCATTTTGTGCTGTGACAGCACCAGGTACACCTAAGCTATTTCTGACACACACTGGCCTGCAGCAGGAATATTTATCCTGGAAGAGCTTTAAGAACTAATTAGAAGCCATTCTAACCTATCCCACCAAAACAAGCTTAAATAAATCAAATGCACATGCTCAAAAGCATAAATCTCCCCTAAAAGTATTTGAGCACTTGAAATGTTGGTTAAATCAAGGTTCTTACACCTGCCTCACAGCTTCTTCTCTCCTTTTTGCCAAAAAGGAAACACAGCAAATAGTCCATGTTTTAAAAGACTTGTTAATCAGGACAGCACTCAATGGAGCTGTTACGTGTAAAGAAACAAAACTGTATTAAAAGAAAAAAAAATCAGAGAGGAATATTGTGAATATTTTGTTTACTTACTAGAGTAGAGGTCATTTTTCCTTTGTCAACAGTACAGAAACAATTCAAGTGTTGGGGTGTAAAGTGTGAACCTACACAAACAAACAAAAAAGAAAACAATCACTACTGGAGGTTTTGGCCAGCTTTCTTGTCAGTTTTCCCTTTGGAAAAAGACCAGATTTGCAGAGTGGAGAAATAAAATGAATTAAAAAAAAAAAAAAA